ACACTGACAGCAATCATGAGCTTTTAAGGTATAAATACTCCTTGCAAAAGGCAAAGCGGGTATGCAATCACAAATTCTTTACGACAATACACACTCAGTGTTTTCTCCTTCCTCTCTCTCTCTCTCACTCAAAGACTGACTAGATCGTCGGAGGGGATACGCCGAAAAACACTCCGGCGCCCTTCTAACTTGTTCTTCTTTGTTCCAGGATCCTCTTGCAGCCTTACAGGATCGTTCTTCCTTCCCAGGGTCTCCCGTTGCCGTTCCAGGTTACGACCGTACCTTGCAGGCTGTCCCAAGCAGCGTGTTTGGTCACTGAACTGGCTCACTCGAAGTTCACCAAGGGAGAAATCTGTCCTTATTTTTTATATTATGCAGGATCTTGCGCGCACAACTATAATTGATATTTCTCCCTCTCTTTTATGGCATTGCTCTTTTTCTTACGAAAAATGCTAAATAGACTAAAAAAATTGACTTAATAAATTACTATTATTGGAACTCATAGTTAAATCAATGATAAATAAAATAATTACATCACCAAGTCTAATTTTTAAATTAATTTTTTAAATCTGTGTAGTATTACACTTTTATTATTTATATTCTTAAATGATTTTGTAACAATTCATCCCCAAGATCACATTTTGTTGAAGTGTTAAAATTAATTTTTTTGGATTTGATTTTGCAATGTCAATATCATTTTCATTTGTAACAATTATTATCTTGCTAATATTAATACTAAAAAATAAAGGGAAAGGAGACGAAAAAAAGAGTTTTATTTTCGATTGGGTTCTGATATTAGATATAATTCATTATTATTCTAATGATAATAATAAGCTAAATCATCATATGTGATAAATAAATTAAATTTAAATAAAACTACTGTCCCAAAAGCATTAATGCCCAAAAAATATCACAATTCTTTGTCCCAAGCCCTTAAAAAAGGTTAAACCTTCTCTTGGGTAGATTTGTCAACGGATTGAGTTTAGATCAGATTCTGATTGATTCAAATTTAAATTTAATTTCAAAAATTTAATTCAATAATCGGATGTTTTTTTTGTGGTATATGTCCAAATCCGTTAATAATTTGAATTTGATTTAATTCAAATAACTTAATTAATTAAATTTTATCAAATTATACTTAAATTTCAAATAAATTTTTTTAATATTTATATAAATATATATATATAAATAATTCTGATCGAATCATAATTGAATTGGATATAAGTATATCCAAGTCTATACCCATGAAATATAAGATATCAAATTCAGATTTAGGTTTGGATTATCTATAAAAAAAAATATTAATTCATATTTAATTAATCGGATTTAAATTCGGATCATAATCCGGTCCATTAACAGGCCTACTCGTGGGTATATAAAAATCGGAGTAAGGGGATAACATTATTAAAATGAAAAAAAAAAAAAAATTTGGTACCATTCTTAAATTTAATTAAATGATTGGAAAAAAAAAAGAGATATCATAGCAAAATATTAATCTAACCTGAGGTAAGGATTCATATTCTATCCTAATATTTAAAAAATAAATAAATTCTTTTTTATTTCGTCATGCTGATGTGCAAGACAATGTAAGCAATAGATCCAGTGGCGGTAGTGGGTGTGGCCCGTGTGGGTCTGGATTCTTTGTAATTTGATTAATTAGTATGGGCGGAAGTGATAACAGTAGTCAACCGCGCTCCTGCTTTTAATTTGATATAGAAAAAATATTATTTGCCCTTAATCAAGTGATTTAATTTGGAAAAATTTAATATTATTATTGAACCCGTTTGGATCTAACTTAAATAGGTAATTTTTAAGAGTTTTGGAATAAAATACGTCAAATTTGTTTGTGTATTAACCTTTTTACCACTCTATTCAGCCCCCTTTTGGACCTCAAAAAACTTATTTAAGTTGATTCAATAAATTGATTTTATAAATTTTTCTTTTAACTTTTTTAAATTTTGTCGTGGGTTTCACATAATTTTTTAATTTATTATATTCATAAATATTATTAATAAGGTAAAAAAATTAAAATTCATATTTTGGGAATTATTATGCATAATGTATACATTCATATAATTATTTTTTTATTTTGACACAAAAAAAAAAAAAAATCAGAAAGTCATTCCAAATGGGCTATTTTCAGCTTTTTAAAAAATACCCAAAACGATTGAGAGATTTTTTTAACTCTTATTTTTTTGCAAAATTTTTCAAACCGTAACTTTCACCAAAAAATTCAGTTCCAAACAGGCCCAATTGAATTATCTCTATTTAATGTTTTTAGGTAACTTAAGCTTTAACTCTAAAGAAGGTATATTGACATGTTTATTGTAGGTTATTTTATGTAATTTAAGCTAAAAATAACATATATAAATTCAAAAAAGAATGTTTAGAAAAATATCCCAATTTTAGGAAGGTGATTCTTTATCTATTTTTTTTTTCTCTTTTTCTTCGTTAGGCCTTAGCTAACATGACCTCTATCACACATCCTCTATGTTAAACGCACGGCTNTGTAGGTTATTTTATGTAATTTAAGCTAAAAATAACATATATAAATTCAAAAAAGAATGTTTAGAAAAATATCCAAATTTTAGGAAGGTGATTCTTTATCTATTTTTTTTTCTCTTTTTCTTCATTAGGCCTTAGCTAACATGACCTCTATCACACATCCTCTATGTTAAACGCACGGCTTAAATGAAAAAAGATTAATACCAATCATAAAATGTAAAACTAATGGGGAAAAAGAGAAGAAAAATAAAACTTTTATATCGATTTCATAGTTCAATTTTACAAAACCAATCATGTTTGTTGCAATCTCTTCTTTAGCATTCATTCTCCCTCGATACGAAAAGTTTGTTGTTTTGTACCGTATCAAAATTTATTCTTGAATCGAATAATNATGGGGAAAAAGAGAAGAAAAATAAAACTTTTATATCGATTTCATAGTTCAATTTTACAAAACCAATAATGTTTGTTGCAATCTCTTCTTTAGCATTCATTCTCCCTCAATACGAAAAGTTTGTTGTTTTGTACCGTATCAAAATTTATTCTTGAATCGAATAATGTTTTTAAGAATTATATTTTAAAGTACTTTTTTTTAGTAAAAATCGTAATCGATTAGTTAACATGTTGATTAACCGTATTTTAAAACATAGAAAAAAAAAATCAATGACTTATCAAATTATCTATCAAGCTGTGAAAAAAATTCAACAAAAGATAAAAACTGATCCACTATCTATTTTACGTCAACCAATACATGGAGTAACTCTACAGGTGGGTCAACTCATCAAATTCCCAATGAAATAGGTTCCATGCCAGAAAGGTATTGAATCTTATGAATATTCTGCACTTGATATGTCNCTTGGAGTAACTCTACAGGTGAGTCAACTCATCAAATTCCCAATGAAATAGGTTCCATGCCAGAAAGGTATTGAATATTCTGCACTTGATATGTCAAAGCAATTTGCAATCCTGCAACTCGCGCATATTGAAAGAAAAAAAATAGTTTAATTCACACATCTNCATGGAGTAACTCTACAGGTGGGTCAACTCATCAAATTCCCAATGAAATAGGTTCCATGCCAGAAAGGTATTGAATCTTATGAATATTCTGCACTTGATATGTCAAAGCAATTTGCAATCCTGCAACTCGCGCATATTGAAAGAAAAAAAATAGTTTAATTCACACATCTTTCGTAGAATACCAAAAAAGCTCTATGAGCTCACTTTTCATTTGACGGCAAACAAAAATCAGACCTCTGAAAGTGAGAGAGTGTTGGACACGATTTCAAACCATGGTAAATTGTTATTATTTTCAATGATACCAACTCCTGTGGGCCTTGGACTTAGCACTAATTACTAAAATCAACAGGCTAGGGTTTGGAACCTTTGTCACAGCCCTCAAGAAGCTAGAAAATACCCAATATGGCCTCTTATTCGCCACATCTTTTGGTTCATCTTCCGCACCACTTCATATCATCCAACATTCCTAGCCCATAAGAAGCACATTACCTCTTCACTCTAATTTAAATAATTTTTGCCATGTTGGAGTGAAAGGCACACAATCTGACAAGCCAGACATTATTTACAATCCAAAAAAAAGGAATTTGACTAAAGTAAAGTACTTGCCATTACAGTATCCTAAAAGAGTACAGGCTAGAAACACCACAAGCAAGTGTCCATAAGCAGGATATCTACAGAGGACTCCTAAGAAACCATATTGACATTAAAGAAGTCATCACTGGAAACTCAAAATCTTTGCTGTTACAAAAGTGATATGAAGTCATCCTCGACACATAATATCATGATTCAACAACTCGGAAAAAAAAAACACAAATGTACTGCACATGCCACATGTTAATGTGGTTTGGCTAGTGTTAGGCAGTCTGGCAAAGATCAACCCAAACAAGGCTTTAATGGAGTTCTAGTAAGGTGGTGCATGTCTGAGGAATAATCCTAGCATTGAGCCCATAGAACCATTCCTCGTAAAAGAAGACTATGTTTTGCTGGAAATATTAAAAGAACAGATCTTAGTATGTTTGTACATATACATTCATGAATTGAAGTGAAGCATTGTCAACACAAGCACCAATTTACAATTTAATTGCCTTGGCATTTTTGTACAAAACAATAAGCTGAGCCATACTGCCTTTGACATACACAAATGTAACATGTTATTTTAAAAGGTTCATTAATTCACCTAAGCTCCTTCATGTCCAGCACGAAAACACCTGAGAGGAATGCAGATCAGAATAGGATTCAAACAACAAATGCAACTTTGTTCCTGCAAATGATTTGTGAAACAAAAATGCATNGTCTTTGACATACACAAATGTAACATGTTATTTTAAAAGGTTCATTAATTCACCTAAGCTCCTTCATGTCCAGCAAGAAAACACCTGAGAGGAATGCAGATCAGAATAGGATTCAAACAACAAATGCAACTTTGTTCCTGCAAATGATTTGTGAAACAAAAATGCATCAGCTGGGGCAAAAACTTTGGCTCTGCAAAATTATTGGAGATATGGCTATTAATGCTCATAAACTCACATTTCGATATGTAGGTACTCTTTCACAGTAAGCGGTTTAGGACCACCAAACCAATTAATCATNTGGCTCTGCAAAATTATTGGAGATATGGCTATTAATGCTCATAAACTCACATTTCAATATGTAGGTACTCTTTCACAGTAAGCGGTTTAGGACCACCAAACCAATTAATCATAAAAATATCCTCGATTTCCAACTTGAAGATCTGGAAATTGTGACCCTTAGGCCAGTCTGCCAACCATTGGAAGGAAAGTAAACCACCATTAGGGAACAAAAGAATAGAAGTGACAAGAGAAGGGCTTCCATAGATAAAGTATTTATTTACCTTTCATCTCAGGATGCTTTGAGAACAAAGCGGTTCGTGCATACTCAACTTCATCAGAGTTTCCATCAAGTAACTTCAACTGGAAAATCATCGATGCAACTTTTAGTCAAATTTAGCCTTAATGAGCAAGGACAATGTAGCAGGAAAGCTCAGTAAAACATTATGCCAACTGCCACCGTCAAATTATTCTCATGGATGAATTTGTGCTGCTTATGACAAATTGACAATATCACATATTTGTCGACAAATATTCCCCTAATGCAATTAAACCAAATTAATATGATCCAATTATATCAAGTGGCATCCAGTCTTAATTTATCACGAACTGACATAATTCAGCAAATTTCAACTTCATAAACGGTGCCAAAAATATTTCTAAGCAGACTTTTTCGTAGGGCTACATGGTAATGGTGTTGGTATCAAAAGTGTCCTCACTGCACAGGATTAAACCAAAAAGGGATCAACTCTTTGCCTCATTAAGCAGCAGAAAGATGACTGACACACTTCTCATTCATTGTTTAATCCTTAACAGTAGTTAAAATCAATTGAGGTCTACATGTGGAGCACAGGCTTGTGAGAATCTTTACATACTACACACACTCGAGACACAATGAATTACATAAAAAGCAGTTGAGAGAGCAACTCTAAATGAATTGCTATTAGATATATACAAGTATGCTATCTCCTAGTAAGTGGTAACATCACCAATTCAAACAGGCTATCATCAGGTTGTGTTTAAAACAGTTGTTAGACACCTCACTATCTAGCAAGAACTCGTTCACACAAACACATCAAAGTGAAACAATTGCATTGTAACCGCCCGTCTGGGTAGGTATGATCAACAAGGTGCCATGAATATCATACTCAAGTCCCAGATCACTCGTATCATGAAAATCCTACAATTCAGTTGCTCTGAATTGTATGGCATTTGGGTCACAGCTAATATGCATAAGGATAAGTTATCTAGTACAAGGATAGACATTGTATGAGGGAAAGTTGGAAACTGATACAGAAAGTTCATAAAGCCACGTATACAGTTGCCATACATGACAGACTTAAGAATTAATGGGGAAACACACCTTTCCCGTGAGTGTAATTTTTGCACAAGTGGGGTTCTCGGGGTCCGTCTTGCCACAAGTTCCAATAGGGTACTCACTGATCGTGAAGGATGATCTCTGGTCTTTCAATGCATTACTTGCAGTTGGATCAAGGGTAGTTAAATAAAAATATGGGATGCCACTGCCTTTGTTGGGTAGCCCATCACTATATGAAACCACATTTCTGCATGGTATTTAGATTTCTTTTGAGTGAGGAATAATAATAGAGAGCATAAGAATACTATATTAGCTTCTGGTAATTAGTATCAGAAGCAAGAGTCAGACACAAAACATTTTGGTCAATTCTAAGACGAGGTGCGGTTATGCATACTAAATGACACAAACTGTTTCTGATACAAGTACCATTGTGTTGTGTAACGAGAAGAAACCCTGGCTTTCATGAATGAATGCAGTGCTCTAAAACTTCAAAAAATTCAGGACTCAAGGCAACGTCAAGTAACTTCACTCCTCCCCTACCTCAATCCACCACCCCGAAGTGGGAGATACATAGCAAGCATATTAGTTTGGCCTGATCATCAAATCACAAGTTAATGTGTGCATCTCCAGGAATCTGAACTTTTAGAAACTTCAGGTCTTCGATTGTCAACATATGACAATGTATACAAGACGTAACATACCATCATATACAACAAGCTGATTTGTTGTAATTGATTTTTTTGGTTCACTTCTATATATTCTCTGTTATAAGACTATAAGTCTCTATTGTTCTATATACTAATCTAATGCTCTCGCGATTTATTACGAATACAAGTTGGAGCAACCATAGTTTCCCACTACATATAGGTAAAAACATACCCAAAAGGTGCTCCTCCCAAATCACTTGCAATGGTACTGCGAAAATAGAAGGACCATATCAGCTTCTATTCCGAAGCATCATACACAAATATATTACAATAAACTCAACTTTTGGTACAGAGTTGCAATGTCTTATACAAAAGTCATGAACTAATTTAGCTCAAATATCAATCTNCGTACCCAAAAGGTGCTCCTCCCAAATCACTTGCAATGGTACTGCAAAAATAGAAGGACCATATCAGCTTCTATTCCGAAGCATCACACACAAATATATTACAATAAACTCAACTTTTGGTAAAGAGTTGCAATGTCTTATACAAAAGTCATGAACTAATTTAGCTCAAATATCAATCTTGAAACTTGGGGTTCCACAGGGTTCATTCCTGGGTATCTACTTGTTAAAACAAGTCTTCAAGTAACTTGCTTTGTATAGCAGGAGAGANCTTGAAACTTGGGGTTCCACAGGGTTCATTCCTGGGTATCTACTTGTTAAAACAAGTCTTCAAGTAACTTGCTTTGTATAGCAGGAGAGATGTGTGAACAACTTTTATTGATAAGGAATTTATTCTCAAAGATGAACTACAATCAATTAGTAATTTGCAATAAATGGTAGTGTCAAGGCATCTAAGTCATTAACCATTAAACCATACTCATCAAAAACTAATACACAAGAAGCCCAAACTCACTCATAATAAACATACAATTTTAATTCCCCTTATCCCTTGCGTACATCCATAAATGAACCTTCAAAGCTCAAATACTGAAAAATAAACCGAACTATATATGAGCAACCCTTATCACAACGATTCAGAGTGGGCAATCAACATAAGCAATAGTCAAATCAAATAAAACACTACACATATATTTACAGTTTTGTATAATCAGCAAAAACCCATTATGTGTAAACAGAAATAGAAGCTATACAAGCAAGAGAAAGAGAGATTATACTTGAGGACGCCCCAGGAATTCTGAGAGACCAACCATCGAGCGAAGTCGGCAGCACTATCAGGGTGGGGTCTGGATAAGGACAGTAATAGAGGGCGTCCATCAACCGAATCTTGAATGACCCCCAAAACGAAGAACAAAGTAAACACATAGCCTTTGATTCTCATTTTTCTTGATTTCTGTGAGGCCCTGCCAAATAATGTATCGAGAGAGAGAGAGAGAGAAAAAA